ACTTTTTATTGATTCAATGCAATCTATCAACAATTTACAAGTTGGTAGATATGTTTTACAGGACAGTTTTTCTGAGATACAAATTCATGGATTTTCAGATGCATCAGAACATGCATATGGAGTAGCCATCTATTTACGCTGCAGAAGTGACAATAATTTATCTTCACATTTGCTTTGCAGCAAGTCCAGAGTAGCTCCTCTAAAACCGTTGACAGTACCTCGACTGGAACTCTGCACAGCTGTACTGTTAGCACAGCTTGTTACAAAGGTGGTGCCTTTACTGAAATTGGACATCGGTAAAATATATCTGTGGTGTGACTCGACTATAGTGTTAGCATGGCTTCAGAATCCTCCGCACGTATTAAAAACTTTTGTTGCTAATCGAGTGTTGCAGATCCAAGAGCTAACACAGACATGCCAGTGGAATTATGTGCGTTCAAAGGAGAACCCAGCAGACCTTATTTCCCGATGACTGAATTTTGACAAGCTGCATGATGCTGATCTGTGGTGGAAAGGTCCTCCATTCTTGAGTGAAGGTGTCATACCTAACAAGAACATTGACTTTGAACAATTAGAAAAAACAGAGACATTTTCTAATGAACTGAGAAAAAGAACTGACATTGCTTGTTTATGCACTTTGCCTTCAAAATTTATAGATAATGTCCTAGATATCACTAACAATTACTTTTTTATTACGTATTGTTAGTTATATTTTCAGGTTCATTTGGAACTCTAGGTGTGCAAAACAGAAAGGAGCACAGAGAAGAACAAGAGGGGTAAGTTCAAAGGAGTTAAATGAGGCAGAATCCTTTTGAGTAAGAGAGGTTCAAAAATGTAGTTTTTATTTAGATTACAACTCCCTCGCACAAGGTAAACCCATTAATAATAAAAGTCATTTACTTTCTTTGAACCCTTTTTTGGATGCAAATAATGTAATGAGTGTAGGAGGCCGATTACAAGGGGCCAATGTAATGTTTTCACAAAAACATCAAATAATTTTGCCTGTTAAATGCAAACTAACTAAGCTGATTGCTGAACATCATCATCAGAAATATTTACACGTAGGTTGACAAGCATTATCATGTTTTATGAGACAGAGATTTTGGCCATTACAAGGTAGGAATTTAACTAGAAAGATTACCCATGAATGTATAATTTGTAGTAAAAATAAACCAGTCACTATCGAACAAATTATGGGGTCATCACCTGAAGAGCGCATAAATCCGAGCTCACCCTTTAATCATGTCGGCACCGATTTTTGCGGTCCATTTTTTATTAGGGACAAGGGACAGAAGAAAGGAACTCTTCATAAGGTATATTTAGCTCTTTTCATTTGCCTTATAACAAAGGCAGTGCATCTCGATCTAGTAAGTGACGTCACCACTGACGCATTTACTGCCACCTTAAAAAGATTTATTGCTAGGTGCGGAAAATGCTCCATCATTTTCTCAGACAACGCGAAAAACTTTGTTGGCGCAAATGCCGAATTGCAAAGAATTAACAATTTAATTAGAAATCCTGACAAAAAATTAGCAGATTATTTAAGTGAAGAAGGAATAGTATGGAAGTTTATTCCCCCAAGGACACCTAACTTTGGTAGACTATGGGAATCTGGAATAAAATCCGTGAAATATCACTTAAAGCAGATTGTACGTAATGCAAGGTTGACTTTCGAGGAGTTATTAACTGTAGTAACTCAGATAGAGTCTGTTTAAAATTCTCGCCCTTATCTTCCAATGTGAATGATTTAGAGGCCTTAAACACCCGGCCATTTTCTCATTGGAAGACCCATGAATGCTATAGTAGAACCCAAATTAATTGATATACCTGAAAACAGACTTTCAAGATGGAAACGAACTACCAGATTTGTCCAGTTGATATGGAATCGTTGGCATAGGGACTATTTAAACACACTACAACAGTGTTCAAAATGGAAGGTAGAACAAACGAATATTAAAATAGGTATGCTAGTACTAGTTAACGAGGATGAGCTTCCTGTCTGTAGATGGGTGTTAGGGCGCATTACAAGACTTTTTCCTGGAATTGACGGTAAGGTTAGAGTAGTAGAAATACACACAGCAAAGGGCATCATTAAACGTGGAATTACAAAAATTGCAATTTTACCCCAAGAAGAAGCTTCCTAAGTTAGTTAAGTGTTAGCTTATTATTATACAACTTGTATTGTGTATAAAATTTTGTATTGAAAATTGAATATTATTATATTGAATTAAGAGATGTTATTCGTATTGCTTTATGGTATAAGGTTCTAATAGTACAATTTTGTAGGTTATTATGAGTATTATCGCACGAAATTATTGAAGTAACCCTTCAATGCCGGGGGGTAAGTTAAGTCATTAGGATTATTTAACTGTAAGATTACGTCATTTTTTCTCTTCATCGCGCAGATGTTCTAATTACAGCAACCCTGTAAACGCTTACTCAGCTTTTTTTTTTTTTAATTGCTGTTGTTGTTAGTAGTAAGTCATCGCTGGAAAGACGGCATACATTTGATTAAAGTTGTCAAAAATATTTAGTACAGTCCACTTCTAGTTAATTTGAAATTGCTGTATAACAATGCACGCATCGCATGAACACAGTTAATGTAGCAGACTGTGCTGCTCCCTAATCTTCTAATTTGATCCAGCTTATTATTTTGTGCAAACTGTTATTACGGCAATTTTATAAAAATTAAGCTTGAACTTTCGATTATGTCGAAAAGAGTTTCCTATTCTGAGGCTGCCTAAGGATTTACAAAGCGAAACCATGTTTCGATGTCCAGTAAACAAAAGTGGAGTTGCTGCAAAAAATAGATAAAGGCATATTTGTCTCAAAATTATGCGAGGAGTACGGCATTAGAAAGTCGACTGTATACGACATAAGAAAAAAGGAACTTTTCGAATTTTTGTGGAAGCAATTTAATCAACTTACATTGAAAGAAATGTTTAATAAAGTAAACAAATAATTATTACGCTTTTGGTTTTGTAAATTTTGATACCCTTCAGATCATAATTGTTCTTTATTTCATAAATTACGAAATCATATTTTTAATTGTGTAATTTCTGCATGCCATTTTACCAGATTTAAATTGATGATCTAATGTCTGGAAAAATCCCAAATCCGGAATCGCCTGATGAGTCTGGATTTTGGATTTTGGACTTTGGATTTTTGGAAAGTCCTGATGAGTCCGGATTTTGGACTTTGTACTGTATATAGATCAAAGGTGACAGCTAAATTTTACAAAACCACACAGAAGAATGCTTTTCAAAATTGATAATTTTCATGCGACTTGACTGTTACAAAATTCAAAAGGAATAAGTTAAATGTTATGGAAGCCATCAAGATTGGTCTAGTTCCTAACCTAAGTACATGGTTAATCCAGTACATGAATATTAATATGGTTTGCTGGATCTGCGTGAATGAGAAGAATGTAAACGAACTGTTGGAATCTTCGAGAAACAGAAACATAAGGAAGTCCAAAGGGAAAGTTCTGGGGCAAAGGTAGAGAACATAAAGAGACCAATGCCTATCAAGAAATTTTTGAATAAGTAGAGATTGAGGCCACAGCTAAGAAGATGCCTCTCAGTTAGTTTGAAGTGAATAGAATAGCAAACTGTTCAAAGACAACGTCATACACTACTAAAGAACTATCCTCTAGAAGGGGAAGAAGCAAAATACTTCAGACAACTTCCTACAATCTAGGCTCCATGCCCAACACCAAGAAAAAAACAATGTAGATACACAAGATCAGGGACAGCTGAGTTTTTCACCTCTAGTGGAAGAATGGATGCATGCTGTTCTATAGCACAGAGGTCTCAATATTTTTGTCATCTATTTCAAAATACAAGGGAACACAGATAAATAATAGTTTACGTATATCCTTTTTACAAAAAGTAAACTGGCATAATTAATTAAGTTTACATAAAAGCATTGTGAAGATCTAATTATTGTTTGTGATGTCTGCCTATCTGTTATTGGAGACTGTTAGAGCAATTTTATAAAAGTAAGCTTGAACTTTCGATTATGTCAAATAGAACTTCCGATATATATTTACTAATATGTAAAGAATATACAAAGCGAAAGTATCTTTTGGAGTCCATTAAACAAAAAGTGGAATTGCTGCAAAAAATGGATAAAGGCATATGCTTTGTTTATCTAAACTTTAACGTTTGTTTATCTAAACTTTGTTTATCTTTAGCAGCGGTGTGCAATGAATTGGAAGTTGATCTGTCAGCACTATCCTTATCTTAAGGGCAGATGTTTGTATTTTATTTGACTTATAATTGCTTACTCAATGTAGTATTTCATGTTGATGTACTCAGTCTTTGATATGATTAAATCAAATGCCTCATCATTATAATTCACTTCGGATAGCGAAGAAAGTGACAGAGGTTATTGAAAACGAAAAAATTTGGATTGACAAATTAAACAGCGGAACTTTGTAACTGAACAAGAAATTATGTCTGTTTATAGAATTAAAGAGAATGTACTATCACATAAAAAACGAAGCAACTTAAACAACTTACATTGAAAGAAATGTTTAAAAAAATAAAACAAATAAATATTAAGCTTTTTTTTGTAAATTTTGATACCCTTTAGATCATAATTGTTCTTTATTTCGTAAATTACGGTTTCATATTTTTAATTTTATAATTTCTGCATGCCATTTTACCAGATTTAAACTGATGATCTATAATCCGGAATCGCCGAAGTCCCGACGAGTCCGGATTAACGACTTTTGACTGTACTTCTTTATATAGCAGATGGCTAATTAATATGCTACATTAGGAAAGAGAGAGAATTTTTCAAGAATATTGCAGCTATACTTCATCTAAGAATCTTATTTTGTAGCACATGCTATTTTTCAGTGAATTAACAGTATTAAATCTGAAAGTTCTCGTTCAATATTTTAGTTAAAAAACTTACATCAGTTGAAAACAAGCTCAAAATCTATTAGATTCATTTTACACTCAAAAAAGTTTTTACTTATAAAATTTCATTACCATGATTGCTTCTATAATGTCCATATTCAGAACCTGACCTTTTTTCACCATTTTCATTATTCATCCTATTTTTACAAAGAAAATAAAATGTTTTACATACTTGATATCTCACAAAAGCAGAAAAGCTACACATAGAGAATATATATTTGCAAAGTATACATTTATTATCAATTTTAATACAGTACAAAGTCCGTAATCTGGATCTCAGAGCCACAAACATTTTTTGTATGCTTTACGCATGCGTGTTTAATGTATAATGAACGGTATAAGCTAGGCTAAAATTATCTTTACTGATTCTAAGGCATTTCAGTTAATGTTGCAGATTGCGCTGTTCCTTAATCTTCTAATTGGATCTGGCTTATTATTTTTTGCAGACTGTTAGAGCAATTTTTGAAAATTAAGCTTGAACTTTCGATTATGTCAAAAAGAGTTTCCAATTCTGGAGCTGCCAAAGGATCTACAAAGCGAAAGCATGTTTTGATGTCCATCAAACAAAAAGTGGAATTGCTAGTTATTGGATTTTGTAAAGAAGATGGAGAATGTGAAGAAGCAATAGTAAATGAAGATGATATAACTGAAGTTTTTCATTGCGACGACAATGCCCCGATCATCAATCAATTAACGGATACTTAAAAATCTGTAGTATGGTTTTAGATCCAGAAATCTGTAGTATCGTTCTAGATCCAGAAAATACCACTTCCAATAGTGAAGAAAGTGGCAGAGAGGTTATTGAAAACGAAAAAAAATTTCGATTGACAAGTTAGTTGGTATTCTCGACACAGCAATTGCAGGATTTGAACAGTGGAACTTTGTAACTGAACAAGAAATTATGTCTGTTTATAGAATTAAAAATATTAGCACAAAAAAACGAAGCAACTTAAACAACTTACATTGAAAGAAATGTTTAATAAAGTAAACAAATAAATATTAAGCATTGTTTTTTAAAATTTTGATACCCTTTAGATCATAATTGCTCTTTATTTCATAAATTATGGTTTCATATTTTTAATTGTATAATTTCTGCATGCCATCTTAACAGATTTAAATTGATGATCAATCTATAATCCGGAAAAAACCCTAATCCGAAATTGCCGAAGTCCCGACGAGTCCGGATTATGGACTTTGTACTGTACTTAAAATGGCACTTCTGAAAACAATTCTTCACTTCTGTGAGTATATTAATAGAATTTCCTTAAAAATGAAAAATAATGCATATTTATTAAATAAAGGTTACTGAAACTACCTTTCAGAAAAGAACTCTTTTCATAAATCATCAATTTACATAAAACGAATAGAAAGAAATTAAACATTTATCAATTAACAGGCAGGTTGACAAGGTCCAGATAATAGTTAATGTTTTGCCATCATGTGATTTAGTAGCTAAGTATAAATGTGCAACTTCTGTCCATTCAGTGTGCTTACTATTCAAAATCTATGCCAATCTAAAATTCCCCCTCCCTTTTACACTCTGTTCTTTTTCAATTAGCCATCATACTGGAGGAGGGAAGTTATTGCATACATTTATATATTAGTATAGTAACAATTGTTTTCTATGACTTCTGTCCATCTTTTAAGGAAAAGTTTCAACCTCCTTTTGGAAGAAATTCTTTTGGTTTTGCCACAAACTATTCAAACAGCACATTCTTAACTTATTGTTGCGAAATTCGTACATATGTAGCGAATTTTAGTGAAATTGTAGTATTTATTGTATAATGTAACACCAGTGGCGCATATAAGAGAGGGGTCCAGCCTTGATTTTTTTTCACTTGATTATAATCCTATGTATATAGTACGTTAAATCATTATAAACAAAGGTAACAATTTCAGTTCTAATAAATGAAAAAAAGTCTTGAGGATTTTAAAATTAATGCCGATTGTATTTTTAAAGAAATATATGACAAAGCTGAAAAATTATTGAAAAGGTTCAGAAAGAAATAATGCAGACTAGGAAATGCTAAGGTTTCATGCGGCAAAATACTCTGGTTATCATAATAATGTCCCAGCTGCTAATGCCAAAGAAAAGAATCATGCCTAATGAACGTTTAAATGGCCTTGCACTGCTGAATTCAAGCAACATCACCATCACTCCTGATGAAGTTATAAATGAAATCGCAAAAAATCAAGAAAACTAAATTTTATTCTGTGAGTATTTGTAAGCCTATAGAAGTAGACTGGTGACTGAAAATGAAAACACTCTAATCATCATGTTTTTAGCTTTGTAATTACAGATTAAAGTGGGATTTTTCTTCATCTATAACTTGGTTCTTTTATAATGATGAATTTGCTTTGCTGTTTTTATTTTTGAATTATGAGAAAAGTAATTACATAAGTTCTTGTGCATCCTGGTAATTTACACTGTGTAATACTAGGTGCTTGATAGAGAAAATGCTCTTCCAGAAAAATAAGAATACAGGGACAAGTCTATTAAGCATTGAGTAAAAGACTATCTCGTTAAATTGGCAAGGTATCACCAAGCTGGTGATGGTTTTGATGACTAATTTTTGTTGACAAACTTGGTGACCCTTTTGCAACATTTTGATCCAGTCCATGTATAACTGTCATGAGTATTGCAGCTGAATAACTGTGACCTTCTGTGTGTGTACCTTCTGTGAGATTTAGCTTCTCTTCTGCATTCACTACTCTTCTTTTTCAAATAATGCGAGCATAAAGATTCTTTTTCACCTCCAGTAACAATTATAGAAGGCCCTGAAGAAATTTCATTTTGGAAAGATGGAGACTCTTCAATTCATGCATCTTTAATTCATGCCTAATTATTAAAATCAGGTTTCTTAATGTCCCAGTTGTGTTTAAGGTTCCTCCCCCACTCTTTTTAGGTGAAAAGAGAATTGCAAACCAATACTTGTGGATGACAGCACTCAAATGAAAGTTCATGCAAAATCAAAATATCTGAATGAGAAATATTTCCCATTGCTGCTCACTGTGCATAGGAAAGTTTCTCTCAGTTATGTCTCCATTGGTGATTTATGGATTTAACTCCATCTTCAGTTATCATTTTCCACCTTTTATTGGTTGTCCATTTTTAGGTTCATATTTGAGACTGAAATTTCTACTTCTTGATTTCTTAAACTAACCTTGGCACTGACGGCACAGGGTTTACTGAAAAAAATCTTTCAACTGGATTCTGCAGCATTTCTGTGCAGGTAGAACTCTTACAATATTGATATACCGAATAAGCAGCTTGTTATATGACATCATTTGCCTTTGTATAAAATTAACTATGTTGATATAGTAGAGAGGGTAAAGAAAGGTTATGGTATAAAGGTATTAACAAATAATAAAAACTTTGACTGCAGAATCACTTTGGTATACTTTTACATACTTGAAATCTAGCAAACCAAAATACATCACACACATCATAATTATTTATATAGTATAATATAGCATTTCTGAAAGCAAAAATTACTCGACGATAAAATGATTTTGATGAAAATCCCCATTCAACAGCCATACCCATTTTTAAATCCTTACTAATGGAACTCTGAAAGCTCAAACACAGTTTCTAAAGTAGAATTCTCTACCAACAAACAAGACTGTCCATTGGTTGTAAATGATTCTTCTCTTCTGCTGGAAGACAACATCCAACCTCACCAAATATTCGAGTCACTTGGTTTTTGACAGATCTGCACATAGAATAAATGAAAAAGACTTGCTTGACCATTAAAATTGAATCCTTTCAATCATTTATGGAAACTATTTAGATAAAAGATATCTCAAGATCTTCAAATAGGCATATTTATCCTTTTCATAAAGAATTTAAAGAGCTAGAATGAGGACAGTCTGTTTGTGCAACTGAGGTACCTGATAGTCTTATTGATAAAATTGGCTATCAAAACAGTATTTAACATATGAACCATTTTGTAATGAAATTGATTTCCACAATTACTTTTATAAATATACATTCATCTCTTTCTTGTCATACAGTCTATCAATGTTGCTACTTAACTTCTGTCAAAGACGTACAATATAAATACAATATACATAGTAATAAATACTCACATTTTCTACAGCTGTGCCATTTTTGAAGCAAAGGATCGTATATATATAAAAAAATAATACCATATTTGACGGCATATAAGATGCACTTTTTTTCCTAAATTTGGTCTCAAAAAAGTTACTTGTGTCTTATACGTGAAGGACACAGGTTAACTTTCAAACTGAATGCTATTTTTAGCCCGGATAAAGGTCTAGACACACATAACTTTTTCTACATCTGCTATAATTATTTTGCGCATGCGTGAAATATCTGTCGCCAAAAAGCACCAGAGCTCGAAGCTGATGTCGAAGTTCGAACAGGTTCGGCGGTCGCCATTACGTCTGTGGAGCCTTTTCTTCTTTACATAGTTTTTCTTTGACTCAGCCAACACACGTGTCGGTTTTGGTGCTACTCTGTATAAATGTGTCAGTACCGGTGCTTAAAACTATTTGTTTTAAAAAAATACCCTGAAAAATATGACTACAGAAAACGAGATTAAGCTATACAATTCAGTAAAACTAGGAGTGTTAAACTACGCCAAAGTGCACTACCGCCGTTTTTCCTATTCAAAAGAAAAACTTCCAACGGGTGTAATTGTTCATGTTCATCCGAAAGGCTGGATGGACGAAGCTGGAACGAAACTGTGGTTACAGAACGTATGGGCGAGGCCACCTGGTGGACTCTTAAAAAAACCCTCTTTTGGTTTTGGATCAGTTTAGTACCCATAGAACTGAAACCGTAATGAATAAAGGGAGAGAATTAAAAACCCAGATAGCTGTCATTCCTGGTGGACTGACTACCCAATTGCAGCTTTTCGATGTATTGGTGAATAAGCCATTTAAAGGTCAGTTTACACCTGTCAGAGCGGCTCGGAGCGAGTCGCTCCTTACGATTACTTTGACAATGTAAACGCTCACTTCGACGGAGTACAAACGTAGGGGAGATGAGTCAGCGCTTCCATTTCTCTTTGAACCTGTTGAAAAATCTCTCCGGGCAGCTACTCCGAGCAGCGTTCACAGGAACGTCGTGACAGTGAGTTCTATAATGCCAAGATTAATAAGCGATAGCCAGTTTCGTGGCATTTTTTAATGCATACGCATCTTATGAAGTGTTTTACTTCTATAATTATGTGAGATTATATTCATTTTTCTACAAGCATCCCTACATGAGGATGCAATAAATATATGATATTATAAAAATAAAACTGGAATTATGAAAAAGATATGTAGATCTGTTTTATTGGGGATATTTAAATTTCTTGCTTTGTTATAAAACATTCCTGGGCTATAATTCGTTACAATTTAGCTTGGAGTGAAACATGTTCAGCTGAGAGTGTGAGTGCAAGTACTGAAGGTGTATTAAGGTTTATACAAATTATCTAGATGAATTCTAATCTTTTTAAACTATCCGTTTTAGCATTTTAAAAGTAAAGTATAATCACTATATTTAATCATTATTAATATTTGTTGATATCACTTTATATATTATATGTGTGTTGTTCAGAAACACAATTTCAGTAGGATCCAAAAGTAACAATTGTGATAAATATCTTCCTGTTTTAACTATGTCATAATATATATATTCTTTTACCTATGATAATTATATGTAATGCTACCAAGTTTTTTGCTACTTCTTATTTATTTAATATTTTCTGAATAATTAGGTAGATATTATGCAGTTTATTTGTGTTGTGTTAATGGTAGCTTTGAATAAATATTACATGTGTTAATTTTGCAATTTGCTCGTGAAATAATACAGTTCCAGTCAGAACTCTGCATAATTAATTACATGCACAGAGAGCTACTGATTCTGTGGATTCTGGATGAATAAATATATTCTTTCTTATTAATAAGTAATAAAACACATTATTACTTTTAGATTATTTTGTAAATGATTAATTAGGTGTAAATAAACAGTTATATATAGTAGATAGTAGAAAAACTTTGTTAATTTGAATTTCAATAACTGCACAGTTGACTAAATAACTTCTCTCAAAAACTGAGTTTCTTTTAAATCGATTAACTTCCCTCAGTAAACTGAATTTCTTTGAAATTGATTAATGAATATATTTTGAAGGTGAATAAATTTCAATATGTTTATAGAATTTTTTAAGTCCTTGTATCTGAAATACAATAAAGTTTCTGTAACTTAGGACATTCTCGTCCGAAATTCATTTAATACTTCATTTGTTACTCCTAATTCATTTGGCAAGCTACCCAGTCACGTACCCATTTCCTTTTCTTCTTTTTTCTTATTTTTCCCTCCCAAGAGCAGAAATTAATTCGTTTGAAACTGCTTCGTAGACTTCAAGCACTGCAGCCAAAGAACATCTATGTTATGCTCAATGCATATTCTTTCCTGCAGCTGCCTTCGGTATCCATTTCGTAACAAACGGAGGCGAGTTGTCAGTCCACTCTGATTGGTGTAAACAATCTATCAGCGTACAGATCCATTCACTCGGTTCGAAACACCCGGACGAGTGGCTCGCTACGAGCTGCTTTGACAGATGTAAACTGGCCTTAAGGAAAAAGTGCGAGAACGGTGGAACAAGTGGATAGGAGAGCCATATCAACGCCCTCACACCCTCAGGTAGAATGAAGCGGCCCTCTATTTCATAAGTGTGTGAGTGGGTAAAAAGATCTTGGGACGACGTAAAGGCTGAAGTAATTGTTAAGTCCTTTAAGAAGTGCGGAATCAGTAATGCTCTTGATGGAACAGAAGACGACACATTATTCGAAGAAGGTGATACTAGCGATGACGGAAACAGTAGTGATGACGATATTCTCATTTTCGGCCATTTAAGGAAAAGTGAAAAAAAAAAGAAATTTACATTTAAAGAAAGGATTTTTATGGTTTTGAAAGTGATTAAAGTCTAATTTTCATGATAGGCAATGTTTTCCTTGAATCTGTGTTTTTTGTTGTTTCTGCTTTATTTTGTATTATGTTTGATTGTTTGCAGTTCATTCATTTATTCATTATTGAATATCACGTTCAAAATAGCTTGCCGTTTGTTAATTTTCCTTAATAAAAATATTTTGGTAATTTGCATTCAATGATTGTTTATTTGGCTTTTACGAAATGTGAGGAAAAAAAGAAACCACATTTTAAGTTATTGCGGACTATTGAAACTTTTTTTCCTTGTGTGTGGCCTTCTAAATAAGGGTGCGTCTTATATGCCGTCAAATACAGTAATTCCTAAATTTTTAGAGGGCAAAATATATTAATTTTCTTATTAATTCGATCACATCTTTTTCAACTACTTGTATGACAATTTTTAAGAGATTTCCATTGAAAGAAACCTTTTCCAACAATTTTGAAATCTATAAAAATTTTCAAGAAATACTTTTCTAAACAGCAGTCAAAATAAAACAAAAATCCATTTACTTGATTTCAGAGATCATGGTCAATAAGAGTTTTAGCGAAAGGTTGATCTAATTCTAAATGAAGTCAAATACTTCAACAATCTACAAAAATAATCATTTTATTTACAAAGCAACCTGGATTGCATTGATGGTTCACTACCAACTACGTCGCAAACTAAAAAACTAACATTCTTTCTCAGAAGCGAAGCGCCCTCTAACGGCGATACATAAATCATTTGGAGGATTTTTCCACAAGATTATTTACAGATTAAAAAAACATACAGTAGGATTCCAGTTAGCTGGACTCCAATTATCTTAATCATTTGTTCTTAGCAGACTACTTAAAACTAAGTATACTTTTAATTAATTTATCCATTTTATTTTCTGTTCACTTGAATTACACAAAAAGTTAAAAACCATTTAGCATGTTACTTTTAAGCTGCTAAATTTAGATTAACATGTATGACTATTAACTAACAATAAAATGTAACTTATTGAAAACATTTTTGAAATAATATATTTGTAATTTTGCTATAACAGTAAAATGTGAAAGTAAACATGTTATACATATCACAGTAACTACAGTAAATATATATTTGGCGTGTTGGGAGGGGGGAGATTAATTTGTAGGGATATGATTCCAATCAGGCTGGGTAACTGAAGTTCCACAACGTGCATACTGTGAGAAATATTACCATCCTCTATATTCAGCATAATCGTCTAGACTAACTCCACTATGACCAATTGTCTGGTACAATGGTTGAGCATTAGAAGATCGACGACTACCTGAAATATATGCAGAGTCATATTTCAATACTATGCAAAAAGTAATTTCAACATAACAATATCACATTAGATATATATTTATAAGCTAAATTGTAACATGACTAATTAAACAGAAATCTATAGAGGATCTTATAAAATGAAGATGATTTAAATATTTGTTTTAAAATAAATAATACAAGCACCTTACAATTAATAAACTTACACAGAAATTTTTTTAGTATTCTTATTCTCCAAAATAAGAGAGCATTCAATTTCATAATACATAAAAATAATATAAATTATCACCAATGTTCAGTAAAATTTTTGTCACATATGACAGTACCATCAATAGCATTTTAACTTTTATCTATTGTGTGCAATCAACCTCATTCCCACCCTAAAAATGGAAAATGATCACTACTTTACTGATACCTCCCAAAACAAGTCGGTCAAGTTCAGTTCAATATATTCAATTACCCTTTTTAACAGACTTAGTTTTATATTTACTATGTTTTTCTCTGTTAAGGGTCTTGAAGACCACTCACAGTAGATGCATACCAGCTTTTGTGTGCAATAGATGCTCTATATCTGATGCTCATTTTAATTACGGATTCAAATTCTACATGAAAATATCCTATAAACCTAACTCAGAAAAAAAATTGAAGATTTAGTGAATTTTTTTTAAAAAAATTATTATTTAGAATATTCTGAAGTCATGTATTATTGATAGGGAATAAAAAAACAGAATCTGGGCTTTCTGCAGATGAATATGGAACATTTTGAGATGACTATATACAAGATGGCAATTTTTCTGAAAATATAATTTCAAGTGGTGTAATGAAGAACTAAATCATGCTGTATGGACACCAAAATACAATATTATAATCTAGCTTCCTGGTCTGAATCATCCTGTAAAAAATAGGCTCTAAAGCAGAACCCAAAGACACTTGGAATTTACTTTTGAATAAAGTGTGATCCCATTAATCATGAAATGGACTATAAAATCAATGAATGCAGAAAAGCATCATGATCAAAATAGGCATGAATTAATGGATATTAACGAATTAGAAATTAAGGCATTTCTTAGACTTTTATTTTGTTCTGCCATTTTAAATAAAACTCTGAATACATTGATTGTTTATTTGCTACTGACAGTGCAGTGTGGGAGATATTTAAGTGTGTTACTTCAATGTTACACAATGTTGCCCTATAGCAATTATTTTCAGGGTATTATACACGTGTGCTGCAATTTCATTTCTGTTGTTCTCATCTTATCCTAAAACGCCAAAAATGAAAAGAAAAAATTTTATACTTTTATTAGAAAATCACCTGAAAAAAAGCCTTATCTTAAACTTAGGGCAATGTTCTCATTTTTATCCTAGGCCAGAATGAAAATGAAAAAAAAAAAAAGTTTTTCAAATCATGATGAAAAACTAGTAAAAGGAAGAACTTGAAGTACATGCCTACCCAGTAAGAAAATAAAAACAGTATGGAAAGCAAGAAGTCTGCACATCTTCAGTGTTCTAAAAAAATGTGCTTTGAGTGTATTGCACCATATGATTCATCATTGTAAAGAAAGGTATATTAATCCATTTATTACAGAATTATGACAAAACTATCAGTATTATTTGCCCAAAAGCTTAACATACAAACAGCTTCATTCCTTAAAATGAAGAAATAGTCCTCCTTTTACAAGATTTAAATTGCTTAAGAATATATTATGCATGTTTTTAAACTACTCAAGAATATTCTTTAATATTTAATTTAAGAATAGTATTTTAATAAATACCAATATTTAATATAAAAACATCAACTTGAATGACAGGAGTTAAATATGTTTATTCATTCCTTGTTATTGCACATAATAATTACATGGAAGGGATGGTTTTGAAAGGCATGCTTGAAAATACTGTTAACAATGAAACTATTTTCCCACAGAATTTTAAATTTATCTAGAGGTTAATAAAGCATAAATTGTAAATATTAGTATAAAAAAATTCAGACATAATTTTTAAATACTAAATTTTCAGAAAATTACAAAATATTCTTACTCAAATACATACTACTGTGCCCCAAAATTTCCAAAACCCTCTCCATAGCAAGAGCAAAAGTTTCAGCATCACTTCGACTTGCAAAATTTAAGCCATGAATTTGACTGTTGTCACGCCATTGGTGGAATGTAGGAGTAGCCTGGAAATACTTCAAACCTTTTAAGATGGAACAGTTGATTACGACCTAAGGAATAAAAAAATATTACAGATGATAAACTATGCAATGATTTGAAACACTCTTAATGCTTTCTCAGAAATCATTAAGAATAAACCAAGCAGATACTCCACACACAGCAGATTTTCATTATTCAGCATTATTTTAAACTTCAATTATCACAAAGTGAGTTAACTGCTTACCAGTTTTTCTCATTTACTTTATGGACAGAGTTTTTATGCACAGCGGTGATTTGCCTACATATGGAATGAATATCTCATTTCCAAAGCCTAGCTGCCAACCTTGAAATCAGGAAAACCAGAAGTTTCCTGGAGGTTTTTGTACTGCACAATGACATCATTTCATAAAGAACCCCAAACTAACTTTAATTCACTTTATAATGCCTGAATTAGGTTATTGAACAAGTTATAATGTGATACTCATGCAAAATAGTTAATTACATATTCTAAATTTCTTAATTTATCTACTCTAAATTTCATTTTGCAATTCTCTAATTCTTTTACACTGAGAAAATCCTCAGTAGGGAAGAAAAGCTTTTGCATATCAATTTGCCTTTAAGATATGACAAAAATAGAATTATTATATTTCCTCATGTAATCCCTCCCCAGCTTTCTAGAGGCAGGTTCTGAAAACTTAAGATATATTTTCCTCCTCCTCAATGCATTCAGAGAACAAGCTCCCATGAAATTTAAAGTGATGTGTCCATGTATTGAATTTATTTTTTGGAGGAGGTGGGGGTCTTACTAATAGAGACAAAGCCTCGCAAACTACCTGTGAAGGTCACACTGAGTCTTTTCTTTATAACTGTTGAACTTTATGCCAACTTAATACTAAAATCGAGCAATCACAGCAATGCAAACATGTACTGACATTCAGTCTAGGATTTCACTCAGTACATTGCAAACTTATTTAAAGAAAAAATATTGTGATAGTTCCTGTAGTTTACACATAATAACATTTTTTCCCCCTGTTCTTACTGTAACTACATCCTTCAGAAATGAATTATTCACAAGATTTTCTCTGATTTCTGAATGAAAAAATCAATGAAAACAAGGGTAACAAAATGTGAGGAAATACAGTTAATATCATTGTAATTTAATGATTTTAGCTCTTTTAAAATACTTTTAGATATATATTTTAGCATTTCATTTATTTATCTGATTTTCTAAAAATGAAATTTCTTCTCCTTTTCTGTTCATGGAATATAATGAAATTAAGAACTGCATTTAAAATCAGAAAACTATCATAACTTTGCACTGGAAATGAGCACAAGAAGAAAAAGCAAATCTAAAGTACAGGGTTATCCAAATTAAACTTCCCCAACTCAGAGGCCTGTGCAGAGTGTTGTATGGGTCATAATGTGATGAAATTTTAAAAACCGACCACTTCAGATCATGCACTCGAGATTTTTAACAAAAAAAAACTAGTACAAGAAGTTTGCGATATGTGGCGCTGCAGATCAATAAGACTTCACTACACATGTTCTATTGTGCACCATGTTCTCCACACCTCTTCATTCGCAAGCCTTGTGGTTACCAGCGGACAAGTAAGTCCCCATTAATTTCCATGAATTTCGAATAATTGCGTCTTTCCGATCGCCAATGTTGCTGGTGTTTTGGTAGAAGAATACCCGATCCTTAAAGATCCCCATACCGCTGGCCATAAGGTCGCATGGCGTGAGATCAGGCGAGCGTGGAGGCCAATCTGTAGGAAACAGTGGCTGATCACACGCTCATCGGTAAAAGTAGCCTGCAACACCTGTTGAACGCCATGAAGAATATGGAGAGGTGCACCATCCTGCATAAACTACACCTCCTGGAGGCGGCCACGTTGTTGCAGTTCAGGGATCACAAACGTTGACAACATGCCCTGATACCGTTTTCCTGTGACAGAGCAGGTTTTGAACCCTGTTGGAGTCACCTCTTCATTCCACGGCCAAGCAGCATCGACTTCCATTCTGGCAAGGAAATGTTTCCCAAACTACAGGATCTCTGTTGGACAGCCGATGACAACTATGGATTTTATACGAAAATAATCGCGGATTCTCGCATCAACATCACAGACGTTCGTATAGGGCATATCAACAGCACGAAAAACAGTTGGCACACTGACAACACCATGTGGCGATGGGCTAGTGGTGGTCTACGATGGCCAAAGCAACGTCTTCTACGCGTGCAGATTCCACACCTGTCGGCCTCTCCTGGTAATTTCCCGCTGTCCCGTTCTTCGAACTTCTTCATCTGTCTCATAGAGCACTTGGTGTCATTGTCTCGGTCGTAAGATCTTCAGCCGACGGAATCCTTATCGGCAGCATCAGGAGTTCTCGTCAATTACTGGTAAGAAATTCCACTACAGAGCTTTGTCTTTTTAAAAAGTCGACATTGTGTATAGCGAGCTGGAAACGACAGCCTGTCTTCACTTTTTGTAGGCTTGTCTTTTTGGATATGTTGCGCAGAAGCTTTATTTTGAAATCACGTTGCGGCAATAGCCCTTGCTAGTGTTACAGCGCCACCTATCAGCAACTTCTTGCACTAAAATTTTTTGTGTAATAAATCTCGAGCGCATGATCTGAACTGTCTGTTTTTAAAATTTCATCACATTATGACCCATGCAACGCTTTGCACAGGCCTCTGAGTTGGGGAAGTTTAATTTGGATAATCCTGTATATCAGTAAACAACTAAGATTTCTTTGCAGTTGAAGAATCTTTAAATAAGTTTACAAGTTTATGTTGGGTAAGAAAATATAAATAAGATACTAACTTCAGAGTCCTGAACTTTCCATCCAACCACACGAAATGTATTCTGTTCAACATGATGATAGATGTGCACCTTTGAAAGGCCACTAGAGGATCCACTCGGAACCCACTTTTTTGAAGCAACATCATATTCAAGAACAGATGCTCTTGCTGAGGCTACTGACTGTTCACTACAAATAAAATTTAAAATTACAGTTTTAATAGATGCTTCTGCCTTTATTAGAAATACTGTACATCAGATTACACAAAAATATTTTTACGTGACAAACATCTTTGTTGGCGAATTCATATAAATTTTTTCATTAAATTTGAAACCTTGTTTTGCTCTCTTACATATAGTCAGGGCCAGATTTATGTATAAGCTACCGAAGCTATAGCTTAGGCCCCCCTCCAAAAAAAATTAAAATATAGTATAAATAGTATTAAAATACACCGAAGTGACAAAAGTCATGGGATAGCAATATACAAATATACAGATGGCAAGTAGTTCGCGTAGAAATGTATAAATCCTAAGTGCTTTGGCAGGGCTTTCATTTGTTTCAAGATTTTCTGTGACGGGCCTTTGACGTGATTATGGGCCACACCGACGAGAATTAACACTTTGAACGCGGAATGGTAGTTGGAGCTAGACAACCTTGGGTCATTCATTCGGTATCATTAGGAATTCAAACATCCGAGATCCACAGTGTCAAGGTGTGCGAAGTATCTAATTTCCAGGCATAACATCCCAACATGGACAGCGCAGTGGCCGACCACCTGCATTTAAATATGACCGAGACCAGCGACGCTGGTGAGAGTTGTCAATGTTCACAACAAGCAAACACTGCATCAATAACCGCAGACAATCAATGTGGGACGTATGAGGGAAGTGTCCGAATGGACATGCGCGAAATTTGTCTTCCTTGGGGCCATGCCCAGCAGAAGACCGACTCGAGTGCTTTTACTGACAGCATGACATCGCCTGCAGCGACTCTCGTGGGCGCGTGAGCACATCGGTTGGTCCCTAACGAATGGAAACCCGTGGCTTGGTCAGATGAGTCCACATTCATTTGGTAAGAGCTGATGGCAAGGGTTCGAGTGTGGCGCAGACCCATGATGGCCATGACCCAAGTTGTCAACAAGGCACTGGTGGAAGGTTCCCTAGATGGTCTGGGCGTTTTTACATGTCTGAGTCCGGTCCTCTGGTGCAACTGACCCATCATTGACTGGAAAGGAACCTCTTCAGCTACTTGGAGTCACTTACAGCCATTCATGGACTTCACCCGTACTCAACCCCATGGGATTTTTATGGAGACAATGCATCATGTCACCAGGCCACAATTGTTTCACACGATGGTTAGAATATTCTGGACAATTCCAGCGAATTATCTGGCCCCAGATCGCCCTACATGAATCCATCGACATTTATGGGACATCTTCGAGGGTCAGTTTCGTGCTCAAAATCCTGCACCGTCCACTTTTCACAATTATGACGTCTATGATGCAGCATGGCCAATATTCCTGCAGACTTCCAACGACTTGTTGGGGGGGGAGGGGGGGGGTGATTCCATGCCACGTCGAGTTGCTGCACTTCGCCGGGCAAAAGGAGGACCGACAAAATATTAGGAGGTATCCCATGACTTTTGTCACTTCAGTGTATATTATAACAGACTTATAAAGAGCCCCATATATCAAATAGCTTTTGAAAATCTTAAGAAAATAAATTACGGTACTGCACGTAGCAATTAATGCTTTGAAAATACAACTTTTTAAAACTTATTTTAAAGTATTCTGTTGATGCAACATGTTGTGATTAAACAGAACATAATTATGGTTATTTACCTGCTTGATCAAATAACTAAAAATACATTCCTTTAAATAAAACTTGATTAACAATTTGCATAGAAATTTTACAATATAAAAGTTAGTTCTCAAGCAACAATGAAATAGATTTGCACAAATAAATACCTCAAAAAATATGAAAATAAAAAGTTATAAAATGACAATATATTTATTGGACAGATAAATTATCACATAATACATCAAAAATGAAGGCCTTAAAGGGAAACAATCTATGAATAATTACGGTTATGGTAATCCAATGAATAATTATGGTCTTGACTGCATAATTTCTTTTGATACAACCTATATCTGAAAAGATTATCCACGGAAAAACAACATATAGATAGACAGTTAAAAAGTGTAGTGTTTAACAATGAAACCTTCACAATTGGACACTTCACATGACTTAATTAAAAGTGCAGATGCCCAAATTTCCATAATGTTACAAGTAAAGAATCATACTGCAAATAAAGAGCATAAAATTTTGTAATTTATATATATATATATACCAGTTAAAATTTCTACAGAAGGTCACTTAATTGCATTTTGCACTTAGGTTAAAATAACATGCCAAATAATGATTATTGGAGAAGTCAAACAACAAGAATCAGCATAATATTTGTACGACAATTTTCTATGGTTTAACTACAGAATCAACCTCTTCAGCTGCCTAAGTGCAAATGAACAGGATAAGATAAGAATGGCTGGACAGAAGTTAAGCTACTGGCACCATCTATTGATGAAACAAGCACACTAAAACACAATTTCCTTTAAGGCTGAAGGTAAAGATGGTTAAATTAGGGTCGTTAACCAGAACAGAAAGATTTTTTTGAATGTGACATGCCTCTGAACAATCTAATTCACCAGTGGAAGATGTTTTTAATAATTTTAGCTGTAAAAAATGAAAAAAGTGATTTTTGGACTAACAGTGTTGGATAACAGAAAACTTCTATTTCCTTTTTCCTAACATATGCATAATGTTCTTTAACACGAAATTTTAAGATCCTCTTAGTTTGACCAATGTAAATCAAATGACACTGGCAACAAATCCTGTAAATACCTCAGAAATTCATATTCAAAATGTGGGGTTTTTAAGCATAAAACTGGGAATTTTGTCAATAGGAGAAAAATGACCTTAAAGTTAAATTTTCGTAAAATATGTGCAATTTTATTGCTAATCAATGGAAAGAAAGGAATGAGAGCAGAATTCTTATAATCTCCTAAAACAAGAATGCGCCTTTTAATGTGTTGAGATGAGAATTTTTTAAGTACTTGGTTAATAATGATGGGTGAAAAGCCCCTGTCAATAGCAATTGCTTTTAAATAATTTAGTTCTTGATCAACAACCAATTCGTAAGAGCACACATAAAGGGCACAGAAAACAAAGGAATAAAATGAAGCTAACATCTGTTTAGTCGGATGACATGATTTGTAACTTTATAAAAAGAATTGCTAAAATGTATAAATAATAAAAAGATTATTACTAGCTGAATTCCCTATGTAAAAATGGCTTTAACAGGGTTGCTACTCAAACAGGAAAATAAAATTCCCAGACTTTTCCAGGAGTGCTTTAAGAAAAATTCCAGTCTAGCCGCATAGTGCGTATTGGTTGCGCTGAGGGTAAATTAATTATCGCACCACTTAAAAATGCAAAAATTTACCAAGTACATATGACTTTGTTAAGGGAAAAAAACTTACTTTTTTATATCACCAAAGCATTACTATTAATATTATAACAGGAGTTGTTCTTTTCAATAACTTTCGAATTAAGGTTTTGCCAAACTAAGAAAACTTGCTATGCAATATTTACATATTACACCACCATTCTCTTCAGCAACCAATTAATTGTATAACAAAATTAGTAAAGTCCAAATAAATTCCCTTGAATGAATGAAAAAAATGAAAATCTGAAGCAGTTAATGCCGTAGCTTCGTGTAGAGTTCCTGGGGTTGTAACCCAATTAATATACTTCAAGGTTCAAATAAGCCACTAATGCACCAATGCACCAGGGGTGATAAATTGTTTTGTATTATTTTAGGTCTCACTAGACGCAAAGAATAAGTTTTACATTTTTGTGCTGTATCTTGCGATCATGGTGAAGATTAATGAAAAGCAATAACTTGCTTTAATTTATAGATTTACATGGCCACTATTCAAATTTAATTGAAAATATTTGTTAAAAAAAACACTATTAAAATCACAATCTAATAACAGTTTACATTTTATAATACATGCAATTTTAAATATTGATTCTTAAATGATATTAGGATAATTACACATTAAAAGCTACAAAACATTTATATTTTGTAGCAACAACACACAACAAAATATTTATGTCTTTTTAAATTGAAGCCTGGACATTTTGGCTAATTTATATCAATTTCCTTCTTAAGCATCTTTTCTAACATCTTTTTCATCTTTTTGTAGCTTTTAGGAATTCCAAGTATTTCAGTATCTTCTTTTACATAAGGAAATGAAAGGTACAAAAAATATTTATACATACATGGGATTACATATGTGCTCATTAGGAAATTGCACTGTAATTATAATAAAATATAAAGGATAATTCAAATAGTTTCAGTATTCTAAGATTTTATTCAGGGAAGATTATTAAATGTATTGTTATTAGTAAGTATACGCTTTGTCAAAAATTTTGAATTAATGTTCAAAACTTTGGAATTATTTTGCTGACAGAATAAGAATTTTGGAATTATTTTGTAAATAAGATTATTGTTTAAAAATTTGAATTTTAAGAATTTTTCAAATTATTTTCATATGATTGTAATAATGAAATATGAATGAAATAATTGTTAATGGGAGAATATTAATATTGCTTAAATTAATATAGAATACCAGATTAAGAAACTGAATAATCGAATAAAATTTATTAGAGAATTTCAATTAAAGTAAATGTATTAAACTTTGTTTGGATTATGGTAAATGAATGTTATAATTATCAATAATTGTATGTTAAATATAAACAGAACCTCTGCAGTCATTCCTAACTATTTACCCTTTTCTGTTTTACATCTGCATAATTGTTCCGTTTACCCTCCTCATGCAATATAAACTTTAAAGGTTCCCATTTTATTTAATTTTTTCATATAATGAGGGTTTTTTTTTTTTTTTTTTTTTTTTTTTTTTTTTTTAATAAATGGAATGTATGGTGCAATTCAAAAGGCCAGTTGCCTTTAAACAAGGAACGGCGGCCTCTATAAGCAACTATCAAAGCAACCCTTAACTACTCATGATTCACAAGAGCTAGTTTTAAGCAGTTATGCTCAAATAGTTGGATATGTGTAAACTATGAGAAAGCTGTGGGGTCTTCCAGTTTGTATAAAATAAGAAAATTTTTAAATGTAACAATAAAAGTAACAACTATAATTTTGATAATGCTATTACAAATGATAAAATATTACTTAGAAATGTGAAAATTAGTATGATGTAAAATTTTATGATTTATGATTATTCATAATAATTAACGGTTATATAAAATTTTACTAATTCTGATACAGTCAAAAGTCGTTAATCCGGACACGTCGGGACTTCGGCGATTCCGGATTATCGATTTTTCGGATTATAGATATCAGTTTAAATTCGTAAGAGGCATTCATAAATTCTAAATTAAAATATGAAACCGTAATTAGAAATAAAGAAATATTATAGCTAAGGGTATCAAAATTTACAAAAAAAAGCTTAATATTTATTGTTACTTATTAACCCTTTCTTTCATGTAAGTTGTTTTCGTTTTATATGTAATACTTTCTTTTAATTCTTAAACAGATAATTCTTTCAGTAAAAGTTATACTGTCAAGTCCGTTATGCTGTGCCCAGAATACCACTAACTGGTCAATGAAAATGTTCATTTCATAACTCTCTGTCACCTTTTCATTTTGTTTATCCTTTTTTTCAGAATTTCACTTTTTGTTGTGGACAGGAACATACTTTCGTTGTAGATCCTTGGAGTTCCAGCATCGGATATTCTATTTTTCACATATTGAAAGCTCAAGTTTTACTTTTTAAAACATTTGCTCCTACGTCTGCAAAAACTAATCAGCCGCAATCCAATATTCGAAGATTAATGAACAACTCAACTCATCACCATTACCCTTAAATCGCTCCTTTTCGCGTTGTACCGTCCGTTATACATTAAACGTGCACGCGAAAACGTATTCTGTGCTTGCACATCGCATATGAGCAGTGGTAAAGGTCTTATGCGCACGCGTACTGAAGTATCAAAATTGTGATTTGAATGTTCCAGAAATAAGAGCTTTTTACAAATTGGACTCAAATCTTAATAGGATTTTAAAAATGTGCAATTAGTTTAAAAGATTATAATTGTGATTAAAATTATCATTGAATTAAAAATTTTATGACA